CCCCTTTTGACTCTAAATAACAGGGGGGGGCTTGATGGGGCCCGTCCCCTTATCCATCTCTTCCCCTCCCTGGACCCCCATCGACCCCCCGAACCCTCTCCGCCTCCCCCACCCTCCCCATCATCTCCTGCCCCCCCTTTGGGCCCCCCCCGCTGTCGGCCCCCCCGCCCCCCGCGCCAGCTGCCCAATTAGGACATTCTTTCCCCTGGGATGCGGCCCTGGCACTTAGCAGCAATTAGGGGCGTCCGGGGGCCGGGGGAGCCACGTGCCGACAGCTCCGTGGAGACGGGCTCAATGGGGCTCGCGGGTGCAGGAATCCGGCTGCACAAAGGGGCCCCCCCCGGCTCCCTCCCTGCAGCCTGCGCCCGGCCACGCAGAGCGGTTAGAGCAATTGCTGGGAATTGGAGACTTAAGTGCGAGGTCAAAGTGTGTCCAACCCCCCTGCACTCCCGCCCGCATCAGCGTCTGGGCCCATCTACCCCGGCGTCCTGCCCCCCCACATCAACGCCTGGGCCCAGCCCCTTCACTGCCCCCCCCAGATCAGACCCACGGGCCCATCTACTCTGGTGTCCAGCCCCTTCCCTGCCTCCCCATCAGCGCCTGGGCCCAGCCCCTTCCCTGCCCCCGCAGATCGGACCCATGGGCCCATCTACTCTGGTGTCCAGCCCCTTCCCTGCCCCCCGGATCGGACCCACGGCCCATCTACCCCAGTGATCAGACCCGTAGGCCCCTCTTGCCTCCAGCAGAGGGTGGCAGACACCCTCCCCCCCACACGCAGACACAGACACACATCTGCTTCCCCGCAGTTGGCTAAGCCAACCCCCCCCCCACCTTGGCAAACACTGCCCCCCCTTCCTGGCTGGGGGAGATCAAAGCTCACCCGCCCCCCTCCCTGGCTCCCCTGCCCTTCGCAAGCAGGCAGCAAAATAAACTCAGGCTGGGAACAATGTCGCCTCTCATGTTAGCAGGGCCTTGCGGGGTGTGTGCACGGGAGGGAGGTCAGGGGGCAGCGACCAGGGCCCAGCGAAAATCCTTTGAGCGAGGGGGCCAGGACGCCTGGGTTCTCTCCTGGCTCTGGGAGGGGAGTGGGGGCTAGTGGTTAGAGCAGGGGGGCTGGGAACCAGGACGTCTGGGTTCTCTCTTGGCCCTGGGAGGGGAGTGGGATATAGTGGTGAGAGCGGAGGGGGGTAGCTGCGAGGAGGGGCAGGGTGTCTCTGTCTGTCTGGCCCCTCGCTGGTCTTTGGTGGTTTATTTTTCCACCAGGCCGGAGCCAAGCCGCCACTGACGGGGGGAGCGCTGGGGCTGGGGCTGGCACCGGGAGGGAACCCCGCTGTCCCCCTGGCCCAGACCGCAGCCAAGGCGGACATGAGCTGTGCCCAGGAATTGCGCGGGCCGTGGCCGTCACGCTTCGGCAGCAGGGCAAACGGCGCGCCAGGGCTGGCAGGGTGGGCGAGGGGGGGAAGAGAAGGGGAGGGAGCCGCAGCCCTAAGGGCGGGTGGGGGGAATGAACTGGGGGGGCGACAGGAACAGCCGAGCGATGGGCGGCCAGATGCGGGGACAAAAAGAGCTGAAGTCAAGAGAGACCCAGAGAAAGGGGGAGGGAGAGGAAAGGGGGGGGTGCCGTGGGGCAGGGCAGGCAGCTGGCTGGAGCAGGCGACTCTGTGCCCAGGTGAGGCCCAGCCAGGCCCATGGTCGGGAGGAGCCGGAGGCAGCTTCCCCAGCCAGACTCAGAACCTGCTGCCTGAGCCGTGCCAGGGTCTCCGAGCCAATCGGCTCCACCCACTGAACCCCACTCCCCGCCCAGAGCTGGGGAGAGAACCCAGGAGTCCTGACTCCCAGCCC